GGTGGGGGGCTGGGGGAAGGGCGCCGCTGACTCTGGGACAAGGACTGGCGGCCAGGCCCAGCCTGCTTCCCCCGGGGCCGGGTGGCGTTCGGACCCTTGGTTGACGTGGGGAGGGGCTGACCCCACGCGCCGCACACCCACCTTCTCGGACTCTCTCTCTGTGGGACAGTAGTGCGACTCTTCCGGCCTCCCACTGTCCTTGGCTCTAGCTTCCTCAAGCAGAATCGTCATGGCCTTCGTGGCTGCGTCCTGCTTGGCCACTTTCTTGCTCCCAGCTTCAGCTGGGGGAAACTCTCGGCCACTGATGACAACTTGGAATTTAAATCTTGATGGAAAGTGATTAGATGTGTGAACACTAGTCTAGGCCTCCCTTCTGCCCTCTCCACAGAGAGCCTCCCCTGCAGCTGCTGCTACGCTAAGGGGCTTTGTGACTTGTAGAGGAGATGGAGGGTAGCCGAGGGACCCCTGTCCCTTTGGAGGCTCAGCCTGTCCCCTACGTTTGGAAACAAGGCAGCCAGTGACTCTCCCCCCACAGCTCACTAGAGCATCCCAGCCACAGGCGGCATGAAACTAGGCCGGGGAAACCCGCTAACTCCTAGCCGTGGACTGAGACAGTCTGCACGCAAACGAGCTAAAGCTGAAACGCCTTCGCAGCTCGTTAGCAAGCGGGAAGCCTTCCTCCTAAAGCAACTGAGGTGGGCGGGCGGAGGCTCCGGCGGTGCGGCCTCACACGCCCCGGGGGGCCTATGGGGTTGGGCACCTGCCCCTCCGCGGCCTGTTTTGGCCCCCACCTGCCCACGGAGACACACCGCTCTATGGTCTGCTTTCAGTCGTTCTAAAGCTCGGTCTGTCTGAAGCCTGAGATGACAGGAATTTCCCCTCGTTATGCAGAAAACCAAAAAGCATTTGTTCGGGGCCTCTGGACCGAGAGCTCAGACCTCCTCTGTGCGAGCTTTCCAATTCGCCCAGCTCTTTGCTCAATCTGGGATTTCACTTAGAAAAGTAGGTCACATTTCTGATTTCCTGGGTCTTCGGAAACATGCGAACATGGCAGCGACGTTTCTTACAGCTGGAGTCCAAAGAGAGGTTAACCACAAGCCCCACGCCGGGCGGGATGGAGGGAAGAGGGGGCAATGACAGCCATCCAGTGTCTGGACACGCCCCCTTCATTTAACAGCTCTCCTGCAACGTGTCTCTGCGTCATGAAGACGGTCACAATGAACAGTAAGGGGCAAGCGGGGAGCCCTCGCCCTTAGAACCAGCCTAGGTTAGAACCAAGGTCAGGGGTCCTCTCCTCCACCCCACGGGCGTGCGCTCTCGCTGGGGTGCGCAGCCAGGCAGCTTCTGGGGGTTCGGCTCTCTGCCAGGCCCTTTGGTAGCTCTTTCTGGGCCCACCTGTCCTCCCTAGTCTGTCCGCTGGCCTGTGGGAGCCTGGCCAGCTGAGTGAGGTGATTTCTGACTCCACGGCTTAGGGGTGGCAGTGAGGGGCTGCCCTGCCACCTGTGCAGAGGTATGTGGTAGCGCCACCCTGGACAGGCCGGCAGCATGCGTGCCCCACACTGTCCCTTCCCTGCAGGAGTGGAGGGCAGGGGGGTCCACTGCTGTGTCCACCCGCCGCCCGCCTGCCCCAGCCCGTACCTGTGCCTCTGGGGGCTCGGTGCCGGGAAAGGGGGATGGCACATGGAACGGGGTGGGAAGGGGGTCCCGTCCTCGTTCCCTCTGGCTTTAGGAGGCCGGCACGACACTGGCGCACGAAATCATCATCCCCGGGAAGCTTCGCTTTAGTCAACAGGGTCCCTCCCTAATCCCCTCCAGCTCAGCCAAGATTCTGGCTGGTCCGAGGGCTACTCTCCCTGCTCACGACCTGGACGGGGGCCAACAGGGAGTGCCGGCCACCCGGCGGCGGGGGGGACGCGACGGGGGCTGC